TGTCTATCTGTGTTTCATTGACTATGCAAAGGCATTTGACTATGTGGAGCATAACAAACTATGGCTGACTCTGAGAAGAATGGGAATCCCAGAACACTTGATTGTCCTAAGGCAAAACCTATACTTGGACCAGGAGGCAGTAGTCAGAACAGAGCAAGGGAAGACTGCATGGTTCAAAATTGGGAGGGGCATATGCCAGGGATGCATCCTATCTCCATACCTTTTCAACCTATATGCAGAACAGATTATCCGGGAGGCTGGGCTCTATGAGGAGAAATGTGGGGTCAAGATTGGTGGACGATTTATCAACAATCTCCATTATGCAGATGACACAACCCTGCTTGCTGAAACTGAAGAGGACCTGAAGCACCTGCTGCAGAGGGTCAAGGACTGCAGCCTCCAATATGGATTGAGGCTCAATGTCAAGAACACAAAGATTCTCACCACTGGACCAATTGGCAGCATCAGAATGGATGGTGAAGAGATTGAGATTGTACACAGCTTTAGTTTGCTTGGCTCCACAGTCAACAGTCTTGGCACCAGCAGCCAGGAAATTAAAAGGCGCATTGCCATGGGAAAGTCTGCTGTTAGGGACCTCTCCAAAGTACTGAAGAGCAATGGTGTCTCTCTGGAGACTAAGGTGCATCTGATACAGGCTATGGTCTTCGTAATCACTTGTTATGCATCAGAGAGTGGGACAATGACCAAGGAGGATAGAAGGGGAATTGATGCCTTTGAGCTGTGGTGTTGGAGAAGAGTATTGAGAATACCATGGACTGCTAGGAAAACAAACAGATTTGTCCTGGAAAGGGTTAAACCGGGTGACTCCTTGGAGGCAAGGATTCTGAGGCTCCGTCTAACATATTTTGGACATGTTGTGAGGAGAGACAGGTCCTTGGAGAAAGACATCATGCTTGGGAGGGTGGAGGGACAGCGCAGGAGAGGAAGGCCCTCTATGAGGTGGATTGATTCAGTGACTGGGATAATCGGGATGGGAGTGTCAGAGACAGTGTGATTGGCACAGAACAGAGCAGAGTTTAGGGCTGTTGAATATAGGGTCGTTATGAGTCCAAAGTGACTTGAAGGCACATAACAACAACAACACTCCTCCCACCCACCAAATTGTGCAGCCCTGCAATTTTATCCATGCCCCTCCTCACCCATCTGCCCCCAACCCTCACTCCCTTGTATCCCCATACATTTTTTCACAATAAATAAAATTTAAAAAACAAAAATAAAAACTATGCCTCTCCCCTCAGGGGCTGCAGTTCCTCAGTTTACCAGGCCTCAGAGAAAGCAGTCACAGGGCTCCACTTCTTCATACATTCTTCTATGAATTCTTGCACTCCTGTAGCTACACCAAAACTCAGGACTCCAACATCCATATCTGGAGCCCTGTTCTCTTGCCTCTGCCTCTTCCCTTACAATCTGTCTGCTCATTGTTAAAGGCTCCATCAAGTACTCTATTCATGCTTCTCTAAGGATTTAGGTTGACAGCATCTATAGCCGTTCCTGGAGCTACTTTTTGTTTTTGGAGATACTGTGTGGTTCTGTTGTTAACTGTACAGAACTTCTCATACCATGGTCAATGACTGGCTGTTTAAAATCTGGGAAATGGCTTGTTAAAATATCTGTTGTGGGTCAACATGGTCAAAAGATATTTCAGTAAACCTGGTCCCAAAGGCAAAAAGATCTACATTTTAATAAGTTCTCCCCCAAAAAAATAAGTTCCCAAAGGGGCTATGATATAAACTGAAAACTTAGGAACCATTGCCTTATTAGTTTTATGTGTGTTCCAATTGGTTTGTAAACTCCTTTAATGCAGGATCTTGGAGAAACAGGAAAGGAGTGGGGAGAGGCTGGAGGAAAGTGCAAGCTGACCCCATGCTGAGCACATAATCTTCAGTTTTCAGCTTAAGGCCCTGGTGATTAGTGCCATGGAGGGATGCGAAGGTCTTGGAAGGGATTTTACTCTGCTGCTTAATCTTTACCACAATCTTCTATTTCACCATATGTGCAGTTGATAACATTTTCTCAGTCTTATATAAGGTACTGTACATATGAAGATTCGAAAGATGCCCCTCAACTTTTTTCCAATCAAATTGTTGTTCCTAATTCCATTCAATATGAAACTTATATAGCAACCACTGCCAGGAACTCAAAAGATTCTTTAAACTGATTTGTCTTTTCAAGGAACTTCAAATCGAGAAGAGGAGAGAGATATGTACAGATCCAGTAATCAAAGGATATAAGAACTGAAGTACTGATGGCATTGTTGTTATGTGCCGTTGAGTTGCCTGTGACTGGCGACTCATAACAACCCTACATACAAGAGCCCTAAAGCCTGCTCTATCCTGTGCCAACCTGTCTCTGCCACACCCATCACCATTACCCCAATCACTGAATTGATCCATCTCGTCGAGGGTCTTCCTCTCCTGGGCTGTCCTTCCACTCTCCCAAACTGATGGCATTAGGGAACTTAATTTCTCCACTGAGTTTAATGAATTAACGACGGTTCTGCTCTATAGACAGGAGAGACTAAGTCAAGCAGAGGAAACTGCTGTGCAAAGGTATGGAGACATAAAACAACACTGTCTGGGTTTGTCAGGGAATGAATGAAAGTGCAATCATTTAGTGAAATAGTGGTGCAACTAGAGCTTCCTCCCTAGTCCTCAGTGGGAGGATTGAGGTTCTGATGGGATAAATTTGTGAGAATACATCCTTTAAGCCACGGATTCCCTTTTGCTGAGAAGCCAGCTCTTCACCCTCTGGTCCTTATTTTCTCAGGTCTCCAGGGTACAACCTGGAGGCCAGGCTCTGGCTTCTATCCTTGTTCTAGAGCAGCACTTTGCAAAGAGTTTTGACTACAACCCCCAAGAAGAAAAACATCTTATATTGTCCTAAAACATACCTCATACACAAATATAAGTAATACCTTCATTACTACCAGCACTATGCTTTGATTTTTTTTGTTCTATTAAAAACAAACAAAACCCAAAAATCAGGAAAAAAATGGCTAGGACCATTGCATTGATCAAACCACTTGCATTTTGAGAAACAACGCACTGGGACTCACATCTTGTGACTGCTTCCAAGTCAAGAAGGAATACAATTATTCAGAGTATGAACTGTGGAAGCAAACAGCGGGCATGCATATCCAGGTCATTCCACTTCTTACCTGTAGGACCTTGAGCAAATCATTTAAACATTTTGTGCCTCAGTGTCCTTGTTTGCAACATGTAAATTACATACTTCATAGGGTTATTGAAGGAATTAAAGGAGATAATATTTAGAAAATTTCCAGGCAGCTAGTAATTACCACTTAAATGTTGTTATTAGATGTTGAGTTGAGATTCATAGTGATCCCATGTGTGGGCAGTACAACGGTTCCAAGGTTTTTAAGGATCTGACCTTTCAGAAGCAAATCAGTAAGAACTGTTTCAAGGTGACACTGCATAGATTCAAATGGTCAGCTTTTCAATAGTAGTTAAATCCTCATTTATACCACCCAAGAACTCTTAAGTATTGGTACTGCTATTATTATATGACTATTATTATGTGTATTCTGAGGCTCTGTCTAACATACTTTGGACATGTTGTGAGGAGAGACCAGTCCTTGGAGAAGGACATCATGCTTGGGAGGGTGAAGGGACAGCACAGGAGGGGAAGACCCTCTATGAAGTGTATTGATTCAGTGACTGGGATAATCGGGATGGGAGTGTCAGAGACAATGCGATTGGTCACAGGACAGAGCAGAGTTTAGGGCTGTTGTACATAGGGTCGCTATGAGTCGCAAGCGACTCAACGGCACGTAACAACAATTATTATGTGTGATTCTCCCTGTTATCCCATCCTAAAATAAAGTTAAAATCGCATACCATTTATGAAAAAAATTAATGACAATACCAAAAGATTTATTTCCAATGGTCTACAAAACTACACAGTGCTTGGGGCAGAGTGGGGACACCCCCTAGGGATTCTGCTTCTGAAAGGTATTCAGCCAGTTCCTATTAGGGGTTGGGGTAGGCCTCTTCCCCAGCATGGCTCAGTGTCCCGGTGGAGATGGATTTCAAATGGCCTGCTCCAACTTTTACAAGATACACATTCACTTTTTCTAACCCTAGAATCCCAAGCCCCAAAGGTGAAAACTTTCTTCTAATTATGTATCTTGGGGATCATATTAAAATGTGGTTGATAGAAAAGATAATTAGATCTCTCCTCTCATCGTTTCAGTGTTCATTCATAATGGAAAGTGCACAAAGGGAGCCCAAAAAAGCAGTGCACACCTTTCAGGGATGCCAAAGGCTGACGTGACTCAAACCACCTCTCCTAGAATCTCAGGTGATCTGATGGCAAAACTAAAAAAGCAAAGGTGGTATGTGCCATCTAATGAGCAGACACCGAATTTCCAGAACATTCTATCAGTCACCCGGAGGACAGCCTCGGAAAATAAAGAACGAGACACGTGACATAAATGTTTCATTTGTCATGATGATCAAAAATGGATGGTTAAAACACACACATTCAGACCCTGGCACCACAACGCCTCATCCCACCTGTTCCAGGGTGGAAATGCCTCCAGGTCCCACCCAACCCCCTCGTTCTGGGCTTGTGCGTCCACTGGTCCACGCAGGGCGCGGCACTGCACCCCAAACTTCTACTCCCCACTGTTCAACTTCCCTCAACATGGTGCCTGGACACCCGCTGTCCAGACAGAGATGTGAAGAAAAGTAGAGGCCATGACCTGAGTCCGCAGTGGGCAATGTGTTGCAAAGTCCGCGAGTTCTTCTCCATCTTGGGTTTCCCAACCTCTCTTCCTTCTCTTCCCTCTCCCACCCCATCACTGTTCCCCGGAAACAAATAGGATGGCTTCACTGGTCAAGTCTTCACATTCACAAACACCGAAAGCTGAGGAAACGCCCCTGGGCCACCCTCCCCCTCCCCCCAAACCCCAGTGCTGGGAGAGCAGCCGGGCGGGGCTGCCTCGGGGACTGCGGAGCTGCGGCAGCTGTCCGTCTGTCCAGGAAACTTCTCGGGCCTCTGGGCTTTACCTGGAGGCCTCTTCCTTCAGCTCCTTGTTTTTCCGCACCTCTTCCGCGTGCTTGTCCTGGGGCGAAACAGAAGGGAAAGGGTGGGTCAGAGCAGAGAACCCGAAATGCAGGATGACTCACATCGCAAGTGGAGATCAGTGTCTGCAGAGATGCCAGGAGAAAGGGCCGAAGGTGGGTGAGGTCGGCTGGCGCAGCCCCAGAGGGCCTTGGCTCATTGACTTGGGTCTACCATCTCTAAGCAGACCCTCTCACCGATCATCGTGCCCTTCAGGGCCCACCAGCCTCTCCCTCCATCACCTGGCCTTTCTGGGTGGGTTTGGAGACGTATTGTTGCTTGATTGGTATAGGAAGCTGCTCAGGTACCTCGCGATATGGGAGCAGGTGGAGCAAATAGGCCTCACTGCAAACTCCCCATGCACTTTGATGGCAGATTTTATTTCATGTTCATCTCCTTAAAGAGTAGTTTTAACCTCCTTTGTGAATGATAAAGGCAGTGTTATAAAAAAAAATATCCTCTTTTGGATTAAAAAAATCCACTGCATCATAAAATCCCAGCGACTGAGTGGAGCTGTAACTTCAGAGGTCCACCAGCTGTGCGACCTTGAGTGATTCACCTCATCAATCAAACCTTATCATCCTGGTCTTTAAACAATTTCTGTGAGTTTCATGTTCACCCAAACGGCTTATTGAGATCGGCCTTACAGGCTTATTGAGATCGGCCTTACATTACTGCTTGTTGTGTGTACCTGGAGGGCTACGATGAGTCACAAACAACTTAGTGAGTTTATTTTGAATCTTTTAGACGGTGTACTCTTTGTGGAGAGAGGCCTTGCCTATTTTTAATCTTTGTGTCTCCTGTTTCCTATCATGGCTCAATAAATGTTATGTCTACTGGAGGCTGCCTTCACTGTATCCAAATAGTAAAAACTGGCCATTAGAATTCACCAGAGAAATGTGGGGAAACTCCTTTCCTGTGATTTACAGCCTAAAAAATGGCAATAAGAGACAATCAAAGACCCATTGAAACAATTCAGGTTCCTAAAATAATCTACCACCTTATCCCTGGGGAAGCCCTAGAATTTTATGACTCAAGAAAGTGCTCTATTTAGGGCAACAGTTCTCTTCCCGCCCCCACCCCGCCCATGGCTCAGGATGATCTAGGAATCTTGTTAAACTGTGGGTTCTCAGATAACAGCATTCAACGCCTTGAGTTAATAGGCCTGGAGTAAAGCCCATGTATCCCTACCTTTAAATTTTATACCAGGTGAGTCTAATTTAGATGGTCAGTAACCCACACTAACACAGAAGGCGTTGTTGAAGGTGTCCTTGGCCTGGTATGGGGCAAAACCAACATCACCTTGTTTTGCTCCCACATGACCTCCTGCTTTCATGAGGGTAACTAGGGACCAATGTCTCAGAGAAGTGATCCCCACTAAAATGTTTGCTTCTGACACTTTGCTTCTTTCTTTGAGTCTTAATTCACTATCAAAGTTATTCCTCCAGGATATAAGCCTTCACGATCACTCCAACCCTAAATCTACACCATTTCCAGATGAACTCCACGTGTAAATTTAAAAAAGAGTTTTAGACTTGGTTTCCTCGGCTTCACTGACAAAAAGTGCGTGGGACATTTGTGAATGGACTTCCAGAGAGAAGAATTGAAAGAATACCTAGACTGGGAACTAAAAAAGCTAAGTTCTAAGACCAACTCTGTTCTATATTAACTGTGTGACCCTGGAAAACCCATTTTACCTTTTTTGATATGATTTCCTCATCTGTCAAGTAAGAATGAATGTCAGATCTAGCCTCAATTATTTATTGTGAATTTTGCTTGGGAACCCATAACCCATCCCAAGTGCAGATTTCCCCCCTAAGAGTTAGCTCTAAATCATCCTTCAGATAATCAGGGTGATCTTTCATATAATGCTTGGTGGAGACACTGCAGCCCCTTGAAGGACAAGTATCAGAGAGGAGGGCCTGCCACACATTGGCCAGCTCCAGGGTCTAGATAACAATTGGGTCCCTTGTGAAGAAAGTCAAATCGTTCCAGTAGTTGTTGCCAAAGGCCTGAGACCGTAGGTGGATATACAGGAAGGATAGGGACCACGCTGCTCACCATGGGACGAGGCCACCGATCGGGTCCCGGGAGTCACCGCGCAGCAGGCGGCTCCTGGAAATAAAACACAGAGCTGGAGCCCTCCTAGGAGCTGCAGTATAAACTGGGACAGCCTCGAGAGTGAGGAAACAAGGCCAGTGTGTTCTCAACAAAACAACATGCAAGACCAACCCCAGTCTCTCACGTTTCGCTTGGTTAGGTGACACCATTTGGTTTATTGACAAAAGGCAGCATATTGGAAAGACCTGTGACTCATTAAGTCCATTTCAGGAGGATCGTAGAGAATCATGTTTCTTATTCAATGGGCAACTCAGCTCATCATCCCCTTGGCTTGGAGCCAGGAGCTCATGTCAGCATTTTTCATTAAATCAAATCAGTCCATTCAAGCATGAAACTAGGAATGTACCATGCTTGTCTATCCCTTCCTTCTTTTTTTTTTTTTTTTTTTAATTAGGCAAGTTTCTCTGGTGAATAAGAGGTATAATCTCCCTAAGAGAATAAGATGGTTTTAATTGTGTGATCATATAGAATCTATTCAAACAAATTTGAATACCAGGTTCATGTTTCTTGCCTATGACCTCCCAAATCATTTCCTGGAACTCTCTAAAGACCCAGTCTATTAAATACCTCTGTTCCTGCCTGAGACTGCTTCCTTCCTGAAATGGCATGAAGAGTCACGTGTATTTGCCGTGAAGGAAAGACAGAGCTCCAGGAGCCTCCTCTCTACTGTGGGACCACTTACCTTCTCTTGCAGACGTTCCAACATGGCGGCAAGGTGGGCCTCCCGGTTCTCCTTATTGGATTCCATCTTCTGGGCTAGTTTTTCCTTCGCCATCTTAATGAAGTTGTTGTTTTCCTCAATAGCTTTTTGGATCACTTCCCGCTCATGTTCTCGTTTTTCTGCCAGATGCTTCAAAAGTTCCGCTTCCTGGTACTGGAGAAGCACAAAGGAAGAAAGAGGTCCTTGAGGTGAGCATACTGGGCTGTATTTTAATCACCATGGCTTAAAGCTCCATGATTACAACATTTTCTCCTCCTTGAGCTTGGTTCCTGCCCCATAAGCCAAAAGCAAAGATACCTCCTAGATTCTCCCATTACCTTCCACATTCTAATATTTTTCAGACCATGGATTTCTTTTTCTCTTTATCTCACTCAACCATTCATTTAAAAATACTAAATAACTTTATTTAATGTGTTAGGTTGCTCTAGAAGTTTGGAAAACAAAGTAGGTATAAAGTGTATATATAAGTAACTTTAATCTAGATAGCATGGGATATGTGCCTTAAAATGCTATAGAGAAGATGTTTTCTCCTGAGGAAAAGCTTACACAGGATCAATAAGAAAAATCATAAGTCCTGCTGAAAACAAAGCCAAACTTGTTGCTGCCAAGTTGATTTTGACTCATGGTAACTCATGCATTATAAAGTATACCTGCTTCACTGGGTTTCTTGACCTAGGATCTTAACCAGATGGATGGACACAGTGACTGTAGCAATGGACTCAAGTGTGTCAGAGAAGATGAGGATGGCACAGGATAGGACAGGGTTCAAATCTCTTGTTCATAGGATCAGTATAATGTACTTGACTTGACAGCACCTAACAATGATTGCAGAAGCAGATTGCTGGATCTTTCTTCAAAGGTGCTATTGGGTGCGTTCAAACTGGCAGCCTTTAAGGTTAAATACATGACCGTTGAATCTGTTCCAATTATTAGCGACCCTCCGTCGCGTGTTTTGGTGACACACTATGCCACTAGCACCCTTATGGGAAGTCTCTTCCCATAAACATTTATAGCCTAGGAGACCTGATAGAGGGGCACCAACTCTGTGGCAGTGGGTTTAAACTAAAGGTTAGTAACTCATAGCCTGTTGCTATCTAGTTCATGTCTCAGAGGACATAGCACAATTGCCTCACAGGTTTCCAGGGCTATACATCTTTATGGGAGCAAACTGCCTCATCTTTCTTCCTCTGAGCAGCTGATGAGTTCCCGGCTGACCTTTCAGTTAGTAGTCCACTTGCTTGACCACTGTGCTCCCAAGGCTCCTCTTTTAGGTCGTCGGTCCAGCACAAGCCATTGAACCATCCAGCACCTGGAAGTACTGCTAAGGGGGCTTAAGGGCTATGAATTTCCAAACTATATCCTTCTCCTTGCCTACCTTGGTTAAGAAATTCTTCCCTTAATCATGTCTCCTTCTCCAATCTTTCATATCATTCAACATCTTATTCTTATCATTATATAAGTCATCTCTTAGAGTTATGTAGGATAATATCCTACCCAGATTTTAAACTGTAAACTCTTAGAGGAAGCCAAAACTTCCTTATGACTTCTTTATTTCCCTCATAGAAGGTGCCACTTGAAGACTGATTGATGGTGACTGAGCCCCAGCTCCTGGGCAGCACCTCTTTTCCAGCTCGCTCCCCATCATGCTTGAACAGGAGGAAGCAAGACCCATTCTTACCTTCCTCCGCTCCTCAGCTGCTTCGAGTTTTTTCTGGATCTCCTCCAGGGATGGGTCTCGCCGCCGAGGCAGGGAGGCGTTGAACTCAGGCACTCCATCAAAGGAAGGTGGCTTCAGGATGACTTCAAAGGACTGGCCTGAGGTGCATTTGTTCAGCTCAATGACTTCCATGTCCGAAATCACACACCAGTTCAGGTCCACTGTGTCTGCTGCAGAGGGCAGAAAAGGTGCTCATCAGCCCCGGGAATGGTATGTGGATACCCAGGAAGCTCGTACACCCTAAACATGGGAGATCTGGGAACCCCCAAGAAAAACCTAATGACCAGAGACCAGAGTCAGTCCTGAACATTGGTAGGTAAAGTCGCTGGGCCTCATGGGTCTGAGAGTGACAGAGTTCGTAACTACATAAGGCTTGAGGTTCCAAGAAGAGGTTATGTCATTTCTGAGAGCAGCTGCAGCAGCACGAGCTGCTTTGGCTTTGGCAAGCCTCCTCCTGTAGTTGAGCACTTGCTCACATTGTGATCTGTGGTGACAAACAGTGCTGGCTTTTATCCACCACCCACCACCCATCCACTCATTGTTTAACTACCACTCTGAACGCTCAGCCTGTTTATCTCTCTCCCCTTCGTTCCTCCTACCCTGCTCTCTTCTTTCTCTCCAGTCAGCACTGTCTTTCCGCTGGCTTTGATCTTTTCTCCTACACTGTCTCCCACACCAGCCTAAACAGAAAGAACAATCTCAGGTAATCAGAGCACTCTCATCTCTCATTTCCAGACCAAACCCATCATTTCTCATCAACTCACAGGAATTTAAGAAGGGAAACTATTTCCAAACTGGAGTTCCTGGGGGAGGGAAAAACGTAACAAGTTTGGCAGCTAACGGAAAAGTTGAACGTTTGTGTCTACCCAGAGGCACCTAGGAAGAAAGATCTGGGAAATATTCCCAAAATATCAGCCACTGTAAACTCCATGGAGCACAGATCCACTCTGACTCATTTGGGGTCACCATGACTCAGAATTTACCAGACAGCAACTGTTTTCTCTTTCTTTTGTTTTCAATTCCCTAGTTGGTTTTGATGAGATTATTGCCGTTTTGTGCTCCCTGAAAGACCACACCTTTCCGGTGGTTTGAATCCACCAGCCACTCCATCAGAGAAAGACGGTCAGCCTCTCACAGTGCTATTTCCAAGCCTTGACAAACCCAGTGGAGGGTCAGCTGTGAGTCAGTTCTAACTCGACAATGAGATGAGATGAGATGAGATGAGATGAGATGAGATGAGATGAGATGAGATGATGAGATGAGCTACTGTCTAGGGATTCTTCCTGTCACTCAGCATCACTCTCATGAAGCCTCCTTGAGCTCTCTTTCAGCATTCTATACCTTTCACTGGGAAAACTTGACTGCTGCAGAATCTAGGTATTTTCCCTTCCCTTCTCATCTAAGTGTTCCCTGGAGACAGAATCTCTGCGTGGCCTATCCTTGCATCCTCCACATTATTTGTTCAATGAACAAGCAGAAGTTAATCTAAGATCAAGAGCACTATGTGGAGGCTCTGACTCAGACCTTGAATTTGGCTGTCTAGTTCTTCCCTAAGCCACAGCCACACACCCTGCATTCAGATGCAATGATTTCATAGGATCTGGGAGAGAAAATGCAGCATGGGCAAAGTATCATTATGTTAGGGTCAAGGATACTGTGTGTGCTTATGAATACATCACACAGGAGCCCTTTCCCCTTCATTTTTCAAACTCTGGTCTTCACTTACCATCATATTTATAAGATGACTTGTTTAGGGGATCAGCCAAGAAACAGGAGCAGAACAAAGACACCAGGGGGAGCTCTTTCATCTTCTCCTTGTAGGCTGCAAAAAACATGCCAAATGTGAAGATGGTGAGTCCCTCCCAGGCTCAGAAACCAGCATCATGCAGATCTGAGATCCAGATAGACTGGACTCCTGGTGCCTCATAGGTGCCCAGACCACCCACAGACCATTCCTGGGCTAGGGATCCAGTTGTCCCCTTAACCCCCACTGTCTTGTTTAGATTTTCTGGTGTGATTCAGTCCTGGCCTGTTCACTTATTAAAACGCAAGCCTTCCAGAACACCCAGACGGCCTCATCTTTCCTCACAGTTCATCTCTTCTCACAATACCAAGAACAAAATGCCCTCAAGGAAAACCCCCAAGCACCATGCTCTCACCCCACCTTAACACCCTGGACTGAGCTTCCACACTTGCCCCAGGATATTCCATTTCTTGTGCTCCAGGCTGCAGGAAATCATCACTGCTTTTAATTCAAAGTATTTAGCAGTCCTGCCTAAAGGATAAAAGAGCTGTGGAATAGATGAGCAGCCTCACCTCGTTCCTCTGCCCTGGCCGCTCCCTGACTGGCAGTGGAAGACTCTGAGCCTTCTCTAATGGCATAACCCAGCAGAGTGATCAAAGCGGGAGAGGCTGAAGTCTCAAAGATTAGGGTAATGTCTCTACCACAATCTACCCTGTCTGTGTTTGGGAGCGTCTTGAAAAGCCAGAGGCTGCAAGTTAAGAGCTGATGGTTTGGTGTCCAGCCAGGACCCCTGCTCTGCCCTGCCCTGCCCTGCTCTGCCCTGCCCTGCCCTGCCCTGCCCTATCCTGCCCAGGACATTGCCCAGCCAGTTTTATGTGTTCTCTGCGTGATAAAGTGATTGAATCGTTTGGCTAATAACTGAAAGGTTAGCAGTTCAAATCCACCAATCACTCTATGAGGGGGAAAAGATCCAAAGGCTTCTTCTATAAAGATTTAAAGGTAACCTTATAAGACAGTTCTACTCTGTCCTAGAAGGTGGCTATGATTTGGAATTGAATAACAGCAGTGTGTGTGTGTGTGTGTGTGTGTGTGTGTTCCTGATCATCTTCTGTCCACTGTCAGTCACTGTGACATGTCCTGGCACCCTAGACTCACTCAACACTAAGCTTGCTCCCAGGACAGCACCTAACCATTCTCCCTCACTGTCTTTTACAACTTTGAAAACATATCTAACATATAAAACAATACATGTTTATTGTAAAAAGTCTTGAAAAACCACAGATGAGCAAAGAAAGAAAAACTCAGTTATAATCCCACCCACCATCTAGCAATAACTGTTTATAACTCTTTTTTTTTCCTTCTTGTGCTCACAAAAGTACATATAAGGATGTAAAGAGATACTCCATGCTTTGCTCTCTATCCCGGAAATAGATTTTGTACCTACCAGCTAGGGTCATGTTTTCTGAGATCTGGCGGTTGAATCTGGCAGAAAAGTCACACAGCAGGTCTGTGACCACCTCACCAAGTTGTGCTCACCTAAAAAAAAGACAATATTTTAATAATTAATAGGTTATTCCCTAAGGAAGGGTCTTTAAGCAACAAAGAGGACATCTCTCACTTCAAGGCCCACTCCAGACAGACTCACACAGTCCCAAACACTGATCCTCAAAAGAGCTCAGATATTTTTTTCTCATATTAACTCGTAAGGCCCCATTCATACTAGCTTCATAATTCATAAACTGTAAACACTAAAGAATAGTATCACAGTGCAGTTAGTACAAAGGTAGAAATCAGTCTACACAGGGGATCTTGGGAGGCAGAGAAGGGGTTCCACTCCCAGCGTGAGGACTACGGTTTTCATGGCACCTGAACTAAATCTCAGAGCTTCAGTGCAAATGAGGCATGAGGCTTCAGGGAAGGCATTCTGCCAGGGAACAGCACATGTGAGGGTGTGGAGGTAAGAAAATGTAGCGTTTGTGGGGATCTCAAAGAGAGTGATATGGGACCACATAGAATGAAGAGGAAAGGGACGAAGAATAAGGGAAAGGCAGGAGATAGAGTAGAACTTGGAGTCTGGGAGACAGTAGATGACAGGGCTCAGCTGAAGACCACCATCCTGGGAGTGAGGAATGGTCGTTGGTGAGTTTCATAACAAACATTTGGTTCTTGACCATTGTCAAAGTCTGTGAATCCTCAGAGTGCAATATGAATCTCGCTCGCTGCCAGTGCCCTGGGAGACATAATTTGAACCTCTTTCCTCCCACAATTAGGGTGTTTGCCATCTGGAGACCGATCTCCATGGGCTTGACTAGTGTGGAGTCCAATAGAGATCACATGGCCTTCACTAACTGATACTAGTCGCTTCATACGTCTCAAAGTCTTTTTCCCTGTTGTAATACTCAGAGTTGTACAAATTAAGTAAGAAAAACATGTATTCTGCATCAATAAGATGGGAGATGGCTTGATAAATGCTAGTTTTGTTAGCTTTTTCTATCAGCATAGTTAAAAAACCAAAACAAAATCTGTTGCCATGGGGTGGGTTCTGACTCATAGCAACCTTATAGGACGGAATAGAGCTGCCTTTAGATTTCCTAGACTGTAGGTTTTATGGGGAAAGACTGTCACATCTGTCTCCTGCAGAGCAGCTAGTCGGTTGAAATCACAAACCTTTCAGTTAGCAGTTGAGCATTTAACCACTGAACCACCAGGGCACCTATCAATGTAACTTCCTACCAGGTTGCTACTTCATAATCTTTACCTCTGGCTCTCTTTACCACAGACCTACAGGTCAAGTACAGCCATTCCCATTAAAAGACGGGTCCATGTGACTTGCTCAGAGTAGCACACAGCTGAGTGAGAAAGCCCCTGTTACCCAATCAGACTGAGTGGGCCTTAAAGGGCCCTTTTCCCTGTGACATCTCCTTGTTCTTCTGGTTTTTGTTTTTCAAAGCAGGGACCTCTGCCATGTCCCTTTCCTCGCAGAACAATGGACCTTCTCTATTTGGGAGTCAAGTTGGTCCTGACACCACCAGTTTGTCCCTGACTGAGAAGGGCAAGCCCTGGTGTCTGGATGTGACAGCCCTAATCATGAGACTCCGCTCATGAGCATCCACGGCCAAGACAGACTGATGGGCCTGCCGATAGGCACAAGTGAACAGGACTTCCAGGAAGGCAGCAGGTAAAGGAGGATGCTGTAAGAAATAGGGGAGCCCTGGTGGCCTGATGAGTAAAGGAGTTATTGCTGTCAACCTAAAAGCATGCAGTTTGAATCCCAAGTAAAAAGATGAGCCGTCTACTCCCATGTGATTTAAAACCTCTGAAAATTCACTAGAGTGTTGGTAAGTCAGTTCCAACTCAACAGCACATAATAACAACAACTAAGAAAGAAGGGAAACTTGGCTGAATTTTTCCTGTAAAAGCCAGTACTTGGACTCAGGGACCATGCCCCTCAGCCTGAACTGGGAATAAGACCTTTTACTCACAGAAAACTTTACAGACTGGAAACACACTACCAGGAAGAGTTTGTTCTGAAATTATAGACTGGAGTGGGAGTGCTTTTAAAGAGTTTTAGGGCCTTGTTTGTCTACTTTTACACCTCTAACACAGGCCACTTTTCTGGGCACATCCAAACTAGCTTCAATGTTTTGCATGTCCCAAGGGTCTACATACCAGCTTTAGCCCTAGAGGCAAGGGTCTTGCAAGCTCCTCACAGTGTTATGAAGTATGTTATATACTTGATGGTTCAAGTCATGTGGTCATAAGCAGCTGGATGTGACTGAAGTGAAGTTGGGGCCACCAGTCCCATCATGGGGCTGTCAGAGCAGGACAGTAAAGGGTACTATGACTCACAATTAGAGAAGATAGAACGATAGGAATTCAGGCAGGTTGACTAAACACTAAAAGATAGTAATAGTCAAGAGTTATCATGAGGCTATGAGTTCAGGCCCATGAGAGGGTCTATCAGGTATCATCAGAGCATCATGAGTCAAAATATAGTTTCAAGATAAACTTCAGGCCCTATTAGAGGACCCTCTTTTGTTCTCTGTTAAAATATTGAAGGAGTTTGTGCTTCATTCTCTATTTAGTAGGGAGTGGCTTCTACTTTTTAATGAGGGAAGAAGGTACTGGTGATGTTGCTGCTACTGATTATGATGATGATGATGGTAATGATGATAATGCAACCCCTTCTAGAGCACCTACCTCATGCTAGAAAAGTCACATACATTATCTCTAGTCATAAGTTTCTTTTGTAATAATAACATTATAGTGCTGTAGAGTTAAGTAAATTACCCCACATCACAAAGCTAGTACAGGGCAGAGCTGCGATTTGAATCCAGATGGAGTCCCTGGATGGTGGAAACAGTCAACACACTCAGTTGCTAACTGAAAAGTTTGAAATCCCAGCTTTTAAAGGGACATCTCAGAAGAAAGACAACACAATTTACTTTGGAAAAATCAGCCATTGAAAGCCCTATGGAATCAATCTGTCCGTGGATGCTTGGGCACTGTTTAGAAACTGAACGGTTTTTGAGAATACATTTAGATGAAAAGAGATTAGGAAGAAAGATCTGATGGTCTACTTTCAGAAATCAGCCAGTGAAAAATCGTATGGATCACAATGGTTCAGTCCCCAACTGACCATGACACAAGGCCAGAGAATGTTTAGCGAATTCTTTTGTGCATGAATTTGCTATGAGTTAGGGGCTGACTCTCAGCAGTTAGTAACAATAAACAATGCAAAAAAGATTCATTTCTCAAACAGCATCAGTTTGGGAATAAGATTAGGAAGGGGAGGCTGGAAACCAAGTCTAGGCACACAGTAATGGAGGCCTGCCCAGGCCCAGACGAGTTACACCTGGGACTTCCTGTATCATAACCAACATTTTCCCCATCTGTAACCTAATCTATATGTTTCTTTCAGGTCCAACATCTAAGAGACTGTGTATGGAAAAACAAAGAATCACACATTTTTGTCAAAAGCTTGCTTCAGTAGCATAATTGGTAAAAATGTGTGAGTTAGTGATAAACACTCAATGTAGAGATGTAGGCCATAAGGCGATGAAGATATAAAATGTGTATGATATTTTTTGGAGAAGAGATCACCATGGTCTAAATAATGACTCTTGACTAAAGAGGGGTTTCAAAGTGGAATGGTAGGGGAAGGGAGGGCATAACACCTGAACTCAAAATCAAACTCATTGCCATCTAGTTGGAATTTATAGCTGAAGGAATGGTAGAAAATCATCCAATTGGGTTTTCTGAGGCTTCTTGTGCAAATCACACAGGAGGAGATCGTCTATTGCCCTCCTAAGTATTGGCAATGAATTTGAACCACCGGCCAGAGAGGTGCCATGTTTGAGTTAGCAGCACAATGCCCTGTGGAATATATCACCAGGGTATTAAAAAATCACTTTTTTTGTATGAGTACTGACCCTTAGCACTTGCTGCAGAGGGTCAAGGACTGCAGCCTTCAATATAGACTGAGGCTCAATGTCAAGAAGACAAAGATTCTCACCACTGGACCAATTGGCAGCATCAGGATGGATGGTGAAGAGACTGAGATTGTTCACAGCTTTAGTTTACTTGGCTCCACAGTCAACACTCTTGGCACCAGTAGCCAGGAAATTAAAAGACATATTGCGATGGGAAAGTCGGCTGTTAGGGACCTCTCCAAAGTACTGAAAAGCAATGGTGTCTCTCTGGGGACTAAGATGCATCTGATACAGGCCATGGTCTTTGCTATCACTTGTTATGCATCAGAGAGTTGGACAATGACTAAGGAGAATAGAAGGAGAATTGATGACTTTGAGGTGTGGTGCTGGAGAGTATTGAGGGTACCATGAACTGACTGCTAGGAAAACAAACAGATTCATCCCGGAAAGGGTCAAACCGGGCTGCTCCTTGGAGGCAAGGATTCTGAGGCTCCGTCTAACATACTTTGGTCATGTTGTAAAGAGGGACCGGTCCTTGGAGAAGGACATCTTGCTTGGTAGGGTGGAGGGACAGTGCAGGAGGGGAAGGCCCTCTATGAGGTGGATTGATTCAGTGACTGAGATAATCGGGATGGGAGTATCAGAGACAGTGCAATTGGCAAAGAACAGAGCAGAGTTTAGGGCTGTTGTACATAGGATCGCTATGAGTTGCAAGCGACTCGACAGCACATAACAACAACAGTGACCCTATAGTCATGACTTATGGTGACCCTCCCTTGAGTTTCTAAGGTTGTAAATCTTTATGAGAGGAGATTGCCCCATCTTTCCCTCTCAGAGTGGCTCATGGATTTAAACTTCCATTCTTTCAGTTAGTAGCACAATATATAGGGGAATCTAAATGAAAAGATCGGAGGCCTCAGTTTCCACTAAAACATTTGAGATGGATAGGACCTTTAATGGCTAGTCAGTGTTTTTGCAAGTAACCACACTACCAAAGAATACTTGAGACCTTTTGATTATCGTTACACTAAAGATGGAGTCTTTGGGTGGTACAAAAGATTATAGAGCTGGGGAAATA